GTTGGCAAATAAGTAAACACTTGCACTATTTAGGTTTCGAACCCAAATTTAAAAAAAATTTTAATAAATTAATTCAAAATTTCCTTAAGTTTTTTTAAAAATTTTCCATCTTACCAATCTGTCAGCCACGGTTTTTTCCTTTCCGCCCATCAATTTCTTCACCTTTGAAAAAGTAAATGGAGTTGCGTTTTCTGAAATTTGCTGGTTTCTAGGTTTGGAAATGGTAGTTTAGAATCACCATAGTAAGTTTGTCAACTTTGAAAAAAAAAAAAAAAAATATTTTTCAATGTTCTCTCTACTAAAACGCTTATTTGGCGAACATTTACAAGTTTAATATTGATCACATCTTATTGGAAGTTTAACATAATTAACGAAATAAATAACAAACATCTCAGAGTTGCAACAATTAATATAATGTGGTTTTACCAAAAAGTTTTATTCGCGGGTTTTGTGAGGTGCAAAAAATGAATATGAACATTTTTCCTGATAAAAAAAAATATATTTTTTAACCTACTTTGGCTACGTCGTTCAGTCACAATTTATGTATTTTAATATCCTACAATATCGAACGACGTAGAGTTAAAATATTTTTTAGAAACAGAGTTGATATTCGTTTTTCACCCCCCCCCCAAAAAAAAATGCAAATTTTTAGTAAAATCAAAAAATCATTTTTTATTCGAAAATCATAAAAATAGTGATAAGACTTCACTGATCCACAGGAAAATTTACAGGGCTTTAAAATTTATAAACCTAAGTAAAGGCACAAATCTGACCTTTGTAAATAAATCAATACTAAAGATATGAAATAAAATATTTAAGGAGGTTTTTATGATTTCGTCCCTTTCTAACTTATAATAACTTTCCAACTATTGTAAAAACTTTGTATTGATATAGAATTCAGGAAAGTTATAAGTTGTCAAGTGGAAGAATAGGCATAGGAGAAAAAAATTAGACAGATCCAGCTCAAACATTTTTAATTTTTGATTGCTACAAACGTTCGCGTTTAAGGTCTTTAAAGAATGCTTAAAAAATCCGATTTTTTTCAACAAATAAATCTTTATACAAATAGATTTGATAATGGTGGGGTGAGTATGGGTTTGAATCTTTCCCAAAGATAGTTCTTACTCATAGTTGGTTGTTGTCAATGATCCGGCTTTCGAGCATTAAGCGAGGAACACACCCTATGCAACGCTATGCGACGCTACCCTACGCCTTGTCACGTTTTGGTAGGGTGTGCACATCTATGCGACGTCAAGAGCACGCCATGTACAGTCACACAGCGTGTATCACAAATCAGTATCACTATCGCAACGCCTTTTTGTGTTCTTAATGCATTATTTTGAGCAAAACCATGTAATAAATTGTTAGTTAAATTTTATGAGCACAACCATGTAAAAGTTATTCCGGTATTTTGATAAGTTTTCTTCCTAACCATCATAATTAAATAATTTTTTATAAAGAATCATGAATTTTTGATCTCGTTTAATTTGGTTTATATTAAAATAAGAATGTTGTAATTAACATAACTACAAAATTACATATACAAAAAATATGAAAGTCCTGTTCTGACGCTACGCGACGAAAATGGTGAAATTTTATGAGCAAAACCATGAAATAAATTGTTAGTTAAATTTTACGAGCAAAACCGTGTAATAAATTGTTAAATTCATTATATCAAAAAATGGTTTTCCGGTGTTTTGCTAAATTTTCTACCAAACCAATAAAATTAATTAAAAAAAAAAAAAATAAATAAATTTTTGATATCGTTTAATTTGATTAATTAATTTGTTGTAATTAATAAAATGACAAAAAAATATGAGTCACCGGTTCTTTTGTCTTCGACTGTATTCGATGCTACTCGACGAAAATGTGGACAGTGGGGATCGCAGAGCGTAGAGTAGGGTAGCGTTGCATAGCATCGGGCAGATGTGCCCGGGGTGCATCTTATGGAAAATTGGATTTGGGATTTGCATCGGGTAGCGTCGTGTAGCATCGTGTAAGTGTGTTCCCGGCTTTAAACGCTCATCATCAAATTGAAGGAGTCAGAAGGAGAATCAGAAGGAAAGACACGTGTCTCGACATGAATTATCTGTAAGAGTTTAGTGATCGACCAGTTGTTAAATGTAGAAGTGGATAAGGAATGAGGTCTCTTGGGACTTTCCGACTTAAGGGATGGCGAAAAGGGATAAAAGAGGTGGCCACCAGGTCTTCTGCACCTCAACGTTGATAAATGTTATGGGTTATTGGATATTATTAAATCAACTATATTTGTGTATTTCCTTCTGTCATTTATTTGAAGCATCCTTTTCACTCACTGTCCTAACGGTCATCTCCGTTTTTGCCCTTTTCTTTGAAACAGCCTTTTCCCCTTGAATTATATCTTTAACAGACATGATCAGATATATTGCGATTCTCTGTTTTTAAAACTCAGTGGCCAGCTTTAGGTTGTTAATCAACCTCCATACCGTTGCCCACGGCTCCTTGGTGTAGGATCTTGCTTGCGGCTTTTCTTCTCCTAGTAGCAAGAGTCTACACTCACATACGCCCTCACAGAAACATAAAACGCAGTATCTAAACAGTGTTTCTTCTGTTTGTACTCCTATCCGGTGCATGTGCCTGCTTTGGTTGTAGTGCCGTGTCAGTAGTCCAACCAGAATTTTGGTTCTGTTGCGGTTAGTAATTCCTTTGTTAATCTTGCGTGTGTACCTTCTATGAATCTCTTCGCATGCATCATGGTTGAGGTATTGTTCCACCATATGAACTCATAAAGGATCCATTTTTGGATGTATCCTTTTTTGTGTCAAGATGGCCACAAAAGGGTTCAGTGCCTAGACTTAGGCTCCTTTTTTTTGGCCAGCATGGTCATTTTCATTGCCTCTATGTCCCGCATGCCCAGGGACCCTGTCAGGGTCAGGTCATTGGTGTCACTGACTTCTATTCCATACAATTCCAGAACGTGAGACTAAGGCATTATGTGCCGCCTGGCTTAGAGAAAATGACTAACTTCCCAGAGTGCATTCCTACCCTCTTTTATTTCTCTGGCACAGGGTTCAATTCCTATGATTCGAGACATGAAAATTGTAGTTTACTTACCTAATTTTCATGTCTGCCCGGTCTTCGGATTCATCCCGACAAAAGCCCCCCCGTATTTTTCTATTTAGTATCATCAGAAAAAGTTTCATGAAAATTGCGATCCCACCCTGGTTAGAAGAAATGCAGAGACTTTCTTCAAATGTTTAAAAAAAAATCTTTGTTTTGAAGTGATATTTCTATTATTTTGTTAATGTATTCCTTGGTGAACCGGTTCCTGGCAGCCTTCCATTTGTTGACCGTAAAGTTTCAAAAAATAAAAACAACGTTGGAATTTATATTGCGTATTGCGAAATGCATCCAGATATTCGTGTTTTTCTTCTTTTGTATTTAGACGATATATTTGAAAACTTGGTTCCGAATATTTTTTATTGACAAGTTGAAAGGATAGTTAACTGCAGAATTCCTGAAGAAAAATGTCTATAAGTTTTGTTTTATGATTATTTGGAGATGTGAGATACGGTCTGGTGTGACGTAGGTTTTAGAAAATTTTCTTTATCGTGCCAACGTTTCGATTTTTATTTAGATCATCTTCAGGGCTCAAAGTGTTTGTTTTCCGTGTAGATGTGTCATTACTTGAGAGCGCCCAACTACGTACGGACACCAAGCAAAGAGCATTCTGAAGGACATCGCCACAATGAAAAGAAACTTGCATCGGCTATCAATTAGAGAACTTTTTTGTTGAAATGCAGACAAGGGCACTCTCAACATGGCACACAATAATGACACACCTACACGGAAAACAAACACTTTGAGCCCTGAAGATGATCTCAATAAAGATCGAAACGTTGGCACGATAAAGAAAATGTTTTTCCAAAACCTACGTCACACCACACCGCATCTCACGATCTCCAAATAATCATTAACTAACGGCCACTAAACACCACACATACCGTTTATTGTAAATGTAATGGAATTTAAATAACACACGCAGACACACACCATCACCACCACCACCACCGACACACACACACCACACAAAGCGGATTGAGAAGAGTCGCACAGTCTCATTCTCATGGGTTAGGGCGCACATGGGCTGCGGGAAATGAGATTGCTGACCAAATGGTTAAGGCTGCTTTCCAAAACTAAGACTTGCCATTTGCATATTCAATGGTCCCTCTATCTGCAGTTAAGAGATAGCTGAATCATCGCAGCTTGGCTAGATGAGGAGAAATTTGGTGTAACTATCCAGGGACGACTGGCCAGAGAATTCTTTCCATCGGTCTCATGCCGCTTACAGAAGAGCCATCTGCGAATGGAATACAGGCTTACTCAAATCCAGACGGGACATGGAAATTTGGCGTTGTATTTCTTTCGCTTTTATATTATCCCCGACCCAGCTTGTTCTTGAAGTCGGGCGCCTCCTCAGACGGTGGATCACCATCTTCTGGAGTGCGATGCAGTGACGGCTTCCAGTTGTTGCAACACAGGTGACCCGGGCTTACGTTGGCCAACAAAGTCATACTTTTTGGAGACGGAAATGCTACCGTACTTTATGAAGTTGGTGTCGGGAATAATGGCGTTCATAAATAATTAACACATAATTGTAAATAATATTGAAGAGTTAAAGAAAAGTTAATTTAATTGTGTTATTCATTATTAGGAGTTAATATAATATTGAGCTAAAAAAAATCCATAGTATTACTTTATTTTTATATTGTAAATATGCTTTGTAAATTTTAATTATGTTATTGTTATTATGTTTAATTCATGTAATACCTAATGTAGTGGGCCATGAACAAATTGAAAAAAAAAAAAAATAAAATAAAAAACAACACACACACACACACACACACACACACACACACACACACACACACACGCACGCACGCACGCACGCACACACACACACACACACGCACATACGCACGCACGCACGCACGCACGCACGCGCACAGTGTATGGACTGATTACATTTTATACTTATTTTGAACGAGGACTTTGGGTTATTACTGAGGTCAGAAAGGAAAAGAAAACCGACGAATTGATCTTCCGATTCGAATCTACGATGTTCTTGTATGTCATTACTAATTACGCAATTATTTGGCCCAATTGATAAATAATTTGAAAAAAAATTCAGATTGTAAATAGAATGATTAAAAGATTCAAGAGATACTGATTTAAACTATTTTTAATTTCCACAGTAGTTAAAAAGTACAATACAACCGTTATAAAGATTGATTAATAATGTAAATATAACAAATCGTTAAGTTCTGGTAGTTTGTAGTTGTGTTTTATATTTCTTTGTTGGCTTAAAGTTCATTTTTCATTGTGATGTCTGATAAAAACGAATTTCCGAATTGATTTAAGTACCTGGCTGTATTACAAATAAGTAAATATTAATCGCGATGTAGATGTATGACAATGGCTTTATTGTACATAATCAGGTATGAAATTCATCATTTTCTTGAATTTATCTAGTTTGCAAAACAGCTTTTTTGACCATTTATATAAATTCTACAGTGTTAGTATTTGCTTTAATGAAATTAGTATTCACAAGGAAATATAGGTCAAAAGTTTTAAAAGATCGATTGAAATAATTGATTACACCAAGTACAAACTTGCTGAAAATGAATAACTGAATGACAGTAGAAAAATAGATTGGGAAGCACTTCGCTTTTGACATTTTCACCAGGGTCATCAATTTCCCGAGGTGGTGTTTGCCCTCGAGCCCCTTCGAGGCATGACGATCACAATCTTTGGAAAACCATTAGCGCGATCATTTAATCATTTAGAATTTTGTTAAGCCGTCGCTAAGGAGACGAATTGAGTGTTTACCTGGGTTTGAACGGCAGTTGGTCCTTCCATGTCTTCCGTGTCTTCTCGGATAATTGGCCTTGCTCTGGAGGGTCCCGACTTCTTTTATATACCCTTGCCCGGATCGCGTCCCCTCCTCGCATTCTCCGTCTCCGGGACCTGTTGCCGATCTGGCCGTGAAATAAGGCGATTTTTATTATCTAGAGGGCTGGAAAACAATTAAATCAGTGTCAGTTATGAGGGGAACTGTGGAGATAGGTTTCTTGTTCATTTCTTTTAAAATATTCTATTGTTTTATGTTGTCTCAAGCCACTATAGGCTTTCCATTTAGGACTGTAATTTTAATAAATAAATAAAACATTAATTAAATAGACCTCACAATACGTAACTGTAGGCTATAAACACAACATAAACTGTAAACAGGTCCAACAACTCTTTAAAAAAATATTATTCATACTAATTGTACATTGCAAACAATCTATTTCATAAGAACTCTTATTAACAAAATTGTCTGTCATTGCAGACATGTTGGTAAAGTCGGTCTCAGGAGCCATTCTCTGCAGGAAGATGAGAACCCACCTCAGGATTACATTAACAATATCTTTCACGATATTCTTCCTTCTCTACAAGATCAACAAAAATCAAAAAAGGTTTGTCACTAAGAATATTATGAGGTGAAATCTGCAAGGGGATGGACCTGTAGCTTGATCAACTACCATCGTTCCGGCTTGCAATCTTTCTGTCCAATAAATTTCTCATTTCCACAAAATTGACTAACCAGGAATATTTCAAACTGCTGAAATAAAAAAAAAAATAAAAAAATAAAAAAAGACCAGGATGATCGGAGGTGATCAAGCTTCAACCTTTATTCATACTAAGATCTGCCAGGTGATGAGTATAGCTTGATCATCTATAGTCATTCTCATCTGCATATTCATGCAGATTTTGTTAGTAAGATACATTTCTCATTCAACAAGATGGATTAACTAACGAGGAATATTTCAAAATGCTGAAATGCACCTGGACTTCAAAACCAGGATGATCAGAGATGATTAAGCTTCTTATACATAGGGTGCCGTATTATTCTGTCACCATGGGAAAAACAACGCTCTCACTGCAATTTTCTAATTAAAACGAATTCCTTGGTAAACATTGAAAGAATTTAATTACAACTATGCAATGTGAAGGTATTAATGAATAAACATTTTGACAAACAAAAAAATTGATTTGGGATTGATGTAAATTTTAGTCTTGATATGGCCAACTGAAGTCCCTCGTGTAATTTCATGATGGTATCTTGTTGAACATAAATATTTCAAATGATGTCATATATTCTTGAGATAATATCATTTACGATATTGTATATCATTTTCGTTAAATGTTTACTAACAAATCTGTAACAAATTACATGTGATAATCATGTCAGTACAGGCGATAAATATCCACCTGGAATTGTGTGATTTGGTTACTACATTGTGACTGAAGGCGATTCGAAAACTGCATTTGAATTTGAATTAACTAGAAAACTAAGAAAATGGCATCAGAGAGCATTTAAGCATGTGCTGTTTTTCCTATGCCCCTGTATATATTTACAGGTGTGATCTGGAAGGGGACAAGCCTGTAGCTTGATCAGCTTCAATCATTCTGGTCTGTAAATTCTTGCATTCTCAAAAGTTTTACCTGTCAGATGCATTTCTCATTTAATGGGATTGACTAACCAGGAATATTTCAAAACGCTGAAATGCATCTAAAAACAGATAGACCTGGAATATCAAAGACATACATATACATACTAGAAGGTGATGAACCTGTAGCTTGATCAACAAGCGAGTCCAGTATGATCAAAGGTGATCAAGCTTTTTAAGGTTATACCCCGCTTTACAAAAACAAAGCCCACTTTGAAATTTTTATGTATTTTCCTTTGCTAAGTGTAATGTTCAGTAAAACCAATAATAATATTATATTACAAATGTTTACTAAACAATTTTGTTTAGTGTGAATTACTGAAACATTTTGTAAAAAACATGTTTGCATAAATCTAAAAACATTAATTGCAAAATTAAAAATGTTTAATATATTTTCGCATTTCTTGGGCCTGCCAAACTAGGTATAATTGGGTTGTTCAAGCAATATACACATACACACAGAATAATCCTTCAAATAACAAAATTTAACTATTATCTCTGTTTTTTGATCCAATGACTTTGAGGAAAGGGAATCATTTAATATCTTAGTACATAATAAATATATATATCATCATATCATAGTTATACATTTCTGTTTATAGGCAACTGTTTGATGCATGCCCTGACAAGTCCCTCATGACTTTTCAAGAAGAAAGCCTTGCAAGGATACCAGATTTGATCCACTTCTACAGGTTGGCTCGGTCGGTGAACAGTTGAACAGCACTTAACAAGAGTTCGGTTGCAGAAACTACACCGAAGCAGGTAAGATATCAAAGAGCGAGTTGATCTGCATAAAAGCTGCATTGCACAAACACAACCGAGTCTATATCCACTCAGAAAACCCGTTGGCGACTGGTGAAGTGTTAAGACGTGCAAATTTCAGCCAAGATTCGCTTACTATCCGCCTTGCTTCGAAATCAATACAGCTACCTATAGTTGTAGACATATTGTGGTAAGAATTTTAATTTTTTAATTTAACTGTTACTATTTTATACAATATACACAATACTTGAAGAAATAGTTCCCTAAAGAACTTTTCTCTGAATGATTAATTGCATTGCGAAGAAATGTTATGAATAAGGTACAGAGGAAGCGACTTATTAATTAATTAATTGTGCAGCTTGATCATCTATAATCATCCCAACTTGACTGATTATCAGTGATGATCAAGTCAACTCATATTCAATAATTGACATATCACATTGTCTTAACATAGTAACTATAAAAATTTATCAGTATTGATGATTAATAATGAAAAAAATCAGTTTTAGCTTAGAAAAACCAAACGAAACTAAAAAGGTAATCAAATCTTTCACAGGAATTATGGAGGTATTTTTCTACAAAATGATGTCTACCTTATACAAAGGTTGGATGATCTTCGATTCCACAGCCAGGTAATTTTTTAGGATCTTCCTAAATGCCAGATGTTGATATTTATATATTTTTAGGTAAAGACAACTGACGGCAGCATTATTGCTGCGAACAAATACGACATCAGGACTGGCTGGTTTTTAGATTCTCGCTGGTATAAGGTGGACGGTGTGGTGCTGGAGCGAGATTGGGGAGCACTTTATCTAAAAGAAGTGCTCCGTACTTGCACCGTAAAGGCTGTCAAGCTCAGTGACGGCCAGCGACTGAGCAGATTATCCTGGATTAGGATTGTCAATTGAAGAAGAAAGGAGATACACTGTGAAGATTCACCACCAAAAGGGGATTAAAGCAATGATTTCTTTTTGAAACCAGAAATCAGCAGATCTGAAATGAATTGAAGGAGTTTTTTCAATTACAAATTATTCTAAAACACTCCTATTTGGCGTTTTGTACTTATTTTCAATGTTTTAGTGTGGGACTGAAAATTAATGAATAATACTGAATTCTGATTTTGAAGTTAAGTACTTTTATAATAAAAATTGTAATGACGTGCATGTGTAATAATTTTTTATTTTGAGTTTTCAATGTTGCTAAATAATTATTTTAAAATAATTTTGCGGGTGTGATTCTCTGTTTTGTCTGCAGGGTGATGAACCTGAAAATTGGTTGTTCCCGATTCTTTTGGTCTCTCTCTCTCTCTCTCCTCTTCATAGCAGACACACTGAACATGGTGAAAGCCAAAATGCGTTTGATATACCAATCCAGCTATAATTTATTATCAGGGGATTGCAACAACGAATAATATATACTTATGATAAAAATATGAATTTATTTGCACAGTATTTGAAAAAAGCAATTACACAATGCATTCATATATAGTAAAATCAATAAACAAACTTCTTATAAATGGCGACAAATTTAGATTTTGAGGGTGACGGGCTTGTCTATTAATTTTCCAGAGTATTTTTTCAGTACTGGTTTCACCTCAGCTGCAAGGAACTCTGATACCTGTAAAAAATTTTTAAACGTGACAGTGATATTCTTCAACACAGGCCACCAAAACTCCCATTCCACTAGTCACGCGACTGAGGAGGCAGGAGACTTCGACCAGAAAAGGCCTATTGAGGATTATTCAGTCACATTTTTATTAAAAAAAAAAAAGAAAAAAAAAGTGTATCCTAGTCCTAGTTAAAATACTGGAAATTACAATTAATTAAGGTTTTTAGTTGAGATGAAAAAGTCAGTGTCACGAGCGGGATTCGAACCCACGATCTTCGGCTAGATATGCCGCTGCTCTACCACTTGAGCTATCGTGACTCGATCCACTCGGACATCAACTTCCTATCTCAACCCCACCTTATGAGTTTTCCCTCCTTTTTGCCATTTTTCTAAAAACCTTAATTAATTGTAATGTATTAATTGGTCAAGCAGACCACGAAATTAATGAATTTAAATACTGGAAATTTTTGTGCTGAGTTGTTCTTCTGTTGGCATCCATCAAATCGAGAAGAAAAGTTGATTTTCAAAACAAGGAAGAAATACTTTCTTCTCATTTTTTCATGCCAACTAGATTTGTTAGTTTAATATTAATTAACTGTTTGATTTACAATTTGTTTATTTAATTATTTATTTTGTGTATAAGATTCATTCTTTATTTTATGCGAAAAGAAACTCATCACCGTTGCAAAAAAGCTGCTGTACAATGGCTGGGGGTTGGCAAATGCTGGATATTTTTCATGGACGCAACAAACAAACAACATGCCCCAGAAATTTCCAGTCTTTTAAACTAGGATACGGCTTTTATATATTTTTAAACAACTGTCCAAAAGCACTTCTGATACACTGCACTGAATAATTACCATTAGGCCTCTTCTTGTTGAAGTTTCCTGCCTCCTCGATTAAATGGCTAGTTAGTGGAAGGGCATTTTGGCGCCTTTATGAATATCACAGTCATACACGATAAAAATATGGATTATAAAAGCTTACAAAGTTTTTATAATCCGGATTCTCATCCAAATCCAAAAAAAAGTGAAGCAAGAAAAATCTATTTGTTTACACTTAGTTTTTGTTTCATCTCACACTCAGAATAGCACATCTCTTACGATCAATCTCTACCTTAAAATCTATTTATTTTTTCATGTTTTCATGTCTTGTTGTGTCAGTGGCAAGAATCAGTTTGTTGCAAGTTAAGGTCTTAGAATTGTTTTCAGGCAAACAGTTTTAGTTATTTGTTTTAGCACTTGTCTTCTAGTATTGTCTTCTTGCCACATTTGATTTTTAAATATCTTTCATTCCCTTTTATTGCTGTTTTCTTATGGAAAACTTCAATTACAAATCACAAATATCAAAAGATTAAACACTATTCAAATAATTATTCAGAAATCGTGAGATGCGGTCTTCTGGTGTGATGTAAGTTTCAGAAAAGCATTTTCTTTATCGTGCCAATGTTTCGATCTTTATTGAGATCATCTTCAGGGCTTAAAGTGTTTGTCTTCTGTGTAATTGTGCCATTCTTGCGTGTCGTGTTGAGAGAACACAGTGTGCGTGACTCTCAACACGATACGCAAGAATGGCACAATTACACAGAAGACAAACACTTTAAGCCCTGAAGATGATCTCAATAAAGATCAAAACATTGGCACGATAAAGAAAATGCTTTTCTGAAACTTACATCACACCAGACCGCATCTCACGATTTCTGAATAATTATCGATTAACGGTCACTAATCACCACACACTATTCAAATAATACAACTGGGTTTAAATTGTGATGACTGTGGCTGCTATTTTCTTAAATGATTAACGTTATTATTTACCTGATTTGGAGCACGGCCAATAAATGTAGCGGGATTAAGAATTTGCTGCAATTCGGGGAGGACTTTTTGGAAATAGGGATCCTTCTTGATTCTTTCGACGAGGTCATTCTGCAATCCTAAGATCTTCACCTGAGCACCGGCTTCTTGGGAGAGGACCCTGATCCGCTCATGGCACTCCTACAAATTACAGACAGTCAACAGATTTGTACTTTCTCGTAAGATGATGAGAATGTTACCTGACGATCTTCACCTTTCTTGACCATGGCCATGATTATGTTTTCAGTCGCCATGAAAGGGAGTTCTTCGGCAATATGCCTTTCAATGACTTTGGGATAGACGACGAGTCCTTCAAGCACATTCATCAAAGTTATGAGAAGAGCATCAGCACAGAGGAATGACTCAGCAAGAGTGATTCGCCTAAATTTATCCGTTATTGTAAAATAGACGTAACAGTATAACATAATATAAATTCAGACCTATTGGCACTATCGTCGAGAGATCTTTCCAACCACTGAACAGCTTCAGTGTTTGCAGCATTGCTGTAAAGTGTAACCAGATGTCTAGAGAGAGCACAGCATCTTTCGCTTCTCATCGGGTTCCTCTTATACGCCATTGCGCTGGATCCGATTTGGGACTTTTCAAACGGCTCCTCAATCTCTTTCATGTTTGCGAGGATCCTCAAGTCGCTGCACATCTTGTGGACAGATGCGCCCATGCTCGACAAGGCCGAAACTACTTCCAGGTCCATCTTTCGAGTGTAGGTCTGGCCGCAGATTAGAAAAGGAGAGTCAAATCCAGCAAGATTAGTCACTAATTTGTCAAGCTCTTTGACTTTTTTCTCATCACCTAAAATGTAAAAAAATTGTTTAATTGGAAAAGAAAAAATTTAAAATGTCTAATAGCTATTTTTTAAATTCATTTTACCATTAAATAATGATAGAAAAGAGGCTTGAGTTCCAGTTGTGCCTTTAACCCCACGGAATCGAAGATCTGACTTCACTCTAGACAATGCTCTTTCATCCATAAGCATGTCCTGGAGCCAAACACATGCTCTTTTCCCCACAGTAGTCAGTTGTGCTGGCCTTAAATTAAAAAAAAAAAAAAAAAAAAAATACAGGTAGATGATTTAATTTAAAAAAAGCACATTCAGGTAATAGCTCTCCACTTACTGTAAATGTGTAAACCCGAGGGTGGGAAGGTCCCTGTACTTTTCGGCGAAGTTGGCCAAATGGTGAATACAAGTGGCAAGCTTTGGCATGATAAGGTCGAGGGCATCTCTCATGACCATAATGTCCTTAAGAGCATGAAACAATTAATTCAGAGAAACTGTAATTAAAGGAAGGATTTGAATATTTACAGTGTTATCGCCGACATAGCAAGATGTTGCTCCGAGATGAATAATAGGAGCAGCAAGAGGGCAAAGTTTAGCAAAAACATGCACATGGGCCATTACATCGTGGCGGGTTGATTTCTCTTCTTCAGCTGCTGCTTCCAGGTCCAAATTGTCAAGGTTGTGTTCCATTTGGGTGATCTGAGCATTGGTAACATCCAAGCCAAGCGTCTAAAACAAAACAAATAAATTAACATATATAGAGAATATATTTTAGATATTATCTTTGAGAATTTTATAATTTTTTATTTTTTTATTTATTTTTAAATTTAGAGATAGGGGTTAAAGATATATTACAGATTATGTGGTGTGCCAGTAACTTGCACCTTTCCTGGAAGGAAACCCATAATAGCTTAAATAAATAGAAAGAATACTGCTCTTCCAACTTTCTTTACTTCAAAGTAAATGTTAATAAAATAGTAATGTAATAAAACATATTCACTAAAGGAGGCCATTAAAAAAATCTAGGGAATTCAAATATGATGGGAATCAAAGTGATGAAAACTTGCATACTTTGGGGCTCCTTTGTGTTCAATGGGTACATGACTGCACTACCGCTTGGTCTGCAGTCCTAGTAGGTAGACGCTAAGGTAAAGGTCCTAGTTTGAATCCAGCAGCCCTGCATTCGATCCTGACATACAAATGGGCTCTTTTTTTTTTCAAAAATGCCACCACCCTGAAGGTTCATTTGACATCACAGTTGAAATACCCACATAAAATAATAATATTTTCCTTCAATAAATTAATCTTTATGTAAGGTATTGGTTGAAATAAAAAAGTCAGTGTCACGAGCGGGATTTGAACCCACCCATACTTGAGCTCTCGTGACTTCGATCCACTTCAACCAATACCTTACATAAAGATTAATTAATTGAAAGAAGTCAATCGGACCACGAAATCTAAGGATTTAATAATAATAAATAAATAAATTTAAAGAATAGTATATAATAAATATTCCACAGTTGCCCTTTTAATAAAGAATCAAATGACAAATAGTGAAGTTATTGCAAAACTATTCTCAATGACAACGATGTGTCAATGTTTGACTTCTGTTTCAGTTTTAGATTCACAGTCAGAACATTGGTATGATGACAAAACAGCTCTTATCTTGAAACATTCAAACATGGTAAAAATAATATAATAACATGTGTCAATTTTGTTTATGAACTTGGATAAAACAAAATAGAAAATACAAACCAAAAACAAGTTGGATAAAATAAAATAGAAAATACAAACTAAAAACAAACAAATGTTTCACTCATTTTTAAAAACGGATTTACTTAAGAATAGTAGACATAAAGAATATTCATTCCGTACATAAGCACCTTTTCTTGTCTTTTCACCATTTTAATCCAGTTGTATTCTCTTTAACCATGGAAAGACATCTTGAACCAGAATTAAGCAATATTGTGTGAATGAGTCATCGAGATCCTCACATCGTATGTCCCTTTGAGACGACCTGCAGCAACAGCCTGCCACAACTACTGAGAAGAATAATTGTGCAGCGAGTGCCTAGAAGAGAATTGCTGCCAATTGGAATGCTCTTATGCTTACTGATAAGTCATATCTGTCTCATCATAGTCTGTTACTATGAGTCTGTAGTGATAGCAGGTGCCGAAGAGTCTACCAAGAGCATGCTTACAATTCGTGCTCCCTTCAGTGCAGTTTGAAGATGGTGTTTGGTCTGGGCTGGGATTTACATTGGAGGATGAACCGGACTATTGTTGAAGGCAACCTCACTGCAGTCTGTTATGTCCAAGAAATTATCTAGGAATATACCCCTCAAATCAGGAATCTAGGCAAGTAATTTCAATTTCTGGATGGCAATGTCAGACCTTATAGAGGCAGAGTTGTTCATCAATGTTTAGAAAACTTGGTAATTTCCCATTGTCTCCAGACCTCAATACCATTGAGCACGTGTGGGATGTATTGCAGAAAAGGCTTTTTGATCACCATCCACCGCCAGTTGACCTGCAACAACTGAATGCAGCGTTGCAACGTCAATGGAGAAATTCTTTATGAAATTAGTGACAACCTTATTAACACCTAACAGGTACACAGAGGTTTTAGCTAGCAGGACCATTATACACGGTATTAATTGTTTAAAAAAAATTATTGTGTCCAATAAACAAAATTATTGAAATAAAATCTTTTATTTTGTTATTTTTCAAAATCCTTTAATTAAATTTTCCTTTGGTAAAAAATATAATAATTTCTTATACATTTAAATGCAATAAAAATGCTAAGGAAAGTAAATACTACAAAATTGGCAATATCCCTATTCATTTTTCAGCAGTTTATTTGAGAGCACATTGGACAATGAAAATGAGTCTGTGGCATTAGGTTTTAATTTTATTTCTGTTTATTGTAAAATACTAACTTCATCAGTTTAACAATTTTGACTATATTTTGATATATTGATCTTTTTTTGACATATGACTACTATATGATTAGTGAGTGACTTTCATATAAATTCGTCACCCTCCAATGTATTTGAATTCACAAAAATTGTATAATAAAAAACTTTGCGTTATTGATAATCCGTTCGAGTGAAGCAAGGTGTGGTAATGAGTAATATCACTAACAAACAAGAGTAGATAAGATATATAAGTTATCTTTTCCAGTTGAGCCTGAATGCCCACGTCCGCAGGTGTACGTTTTAATTGTTGCCAATTATGGATATGGAAACTATAATTACTATTTTCATCAAAGTCATAAAATTGGTAAGTGTATTATAATAAGGAAGACAGTTTTGTGCAAGAAGGCAAAAGGAGATTGAGAAGGATATTTTGACAGAGGGAACAATATCTACTTGTCAGACAACACAAGTGGAGTGCAAAATTAATATAATCTATATTATATAAATTTTAACACTTTATTATCATAAATAAAATGTCACGAGTTTTTATGTAATTTTTTTTACAATTATATTTGCAATATATTTAAAAGTAATGGTATATTCCTTAAAAAAAATAATAATAATAATTTTTGTAATGAAACATTTAATATGTTCAGGTAATAAGATTAGGATGTTAATAAAACTAGGTCAATAGCTTTTTTTTTTTTAAATCTGAACAAAAAATAACAACACATGAAAATGCCCCATGTAAAAGTGATTAATGAAAACATCAATGTAAATCACATTTAATTTATCTCTTTAATTGTGATCATGATAATCAACATTCTAATTTGTTCATTAGTTTCAACACCTATGATAATCCCGCTCCGTCATGTTCATGTTGTAATCACACCGAAAACAAGCCAATGAGGTCAATGGTGTTGAAATTGTAAACAGATATTCAACAACTTACAGAACAACCAAATCCACAAACATTTTAAATTATTTTACAAATAATAACAATAAATATTTTTACTTTTTGAGTTCAAATGTTCGGACTTATTTATTATTTATTTTACTTATTTCAAATATTTAAAAAATATAATTATATCAAAAAAACAGTAGTTTTGTATTTAACTCGTAGGATTCCTGTAAATAAGAATGTGTCATAAAATTGTAATTAAACCGTAGCTGAACTGTAAAATAAAATTTATTTAAAGCGCACTAAATGAACTTATGAAAATTAATATGTAAATGCCCTAAAACTGTCCATGAAAAAATATAATTAATGTAAATCTTATCATACAGAAAGGGTTAACGTCCAACTACCCAATGGGTGTTGCTGACAAAGGGACAAAATATGTCACTTTTATATATTTTGACCAATTAAAATTCCATGGGCTACACCGGGATTCGAACCCAGCCCCACTAGTCTGACAAATACTGGAATATCCTAACCCCTCAGCCACTGTGGTCCTCCAAAAAATAGAATTGTTAAAGAAATAACAATAAGCTTTTGGCGTTGTCTTATAAAGTAAATAAACTACATATTTAACGTTTTCTTTTTAGGTGATAAATTTAATAGTCATTTTCCTTTACCGATATGGTTATTCTGGTCAATTCTTGGGAATTGGAGGAACGTGGAACTTGAACGAGGAGAAGGATGCAACAGCTGAGGTTGTTGCTTCGGGCGTCCTTGTTGGATTTTTCATCTACACTTCTGTCATACTCATGGCATTCTGTTTTGGTACAACAAAACACAAAGCCAGCGTTGTTGTGAGTATTTAAATTTGCCTTTTATCCACTAATGAGCTTAATTATTTTTTTCTGTTATGAAGGACATAATCATGAATATTGTTGGAACAATAATGTTTGTCGCGGTCGGAGGCGTTGCCCTCCACTACTGGGCCGGCTACCAGAACATGAATCACTTCCAGCCCATTTCAACAGAAAAGCAAGTTGGGTTCGCAGTAGGAAGTCTTTGCATAATTGAAGGCGCTGTCTATCTAATTGACACAGTGTTGACTTTTTTCCATATAGTTAAAAAGAACGACCTTTTTTAAACATTAATTGCTTTTTATTCATCCACTGATCTTACCAAGAGGTTGATAAAATAGATTATTTATTGTATTATTCTGACAATGGAGTTAAATACAGAGTAAGAATAAATACTTTTTTTTTTTTTTTGGACAAATGCACAGGACAATTCAAATCCAGCACTATAAGTTCAAATTAATTCTTATCATAAGTGTAAACGAGTTATTTTGTAAATAGGCCAACTAGTTAGTTTGTTAGAAGGCATTCTTTGCCCAAAATTTTATAATAATTTTGTTTTATATTTTTTATATATTTAGTAAGAATATAGGTAATACACTCCATAGTTTCTGATTTTGCATACTCATCAGCAAATATTTAATTTTTTGTTAATGTTAAGCGTGCACCCATGATACAATTTTTTTTGTAAAATTTGATCTATTGGTTAAAAATAAAATATATAACCCAAAACTATTCCCATCTGACTAAAATGTCATTTTTTACTTCACAATTTCATGAAAAAATAATGTTTGAAGTACTTAAAGTTAAAAAGGCCTCCTTTTAATTATTATTCAACACAATATGTGTTCATATATGACAAAATAAATTGGCATTTTATTACAAACATTGATTTGATTAGTTAACAGATGACTGTAATTGTAATGAACTTTTTTATGACAATACCATTTATTGCTAACAGTCTGAATATGTCATTACTTTACATCAATGACTAGAACTTATGTAATCTTCGCGTCAAATTCTTTACATAACTATAGTTATTAGATAAAAAAATAACTATCTGAAAAACCATTAAAAGGTCAGTCTTTATCAAAATGTAAAACCCTAAGATTGTGAAATATAAGAAAAAAACAACAGAATAAGATCAATAAGTATGGTCAGCTCTCAGAAAATTCTATTTGCTATATTTCTTTTTTCTTCAAAAAATGTATAAAGAAAAGTATGTAGAGTACAAAAAAAAGTTTGTGTATCTGTATCATGATTGTTTTTAAGAAGAATATTTTATTTCGCATTAATTTCTTATTAATTATATTTGTGTTGAGACACTTTGTTTTATAATATATTTTTATAGCTTGCTACAAAATATAATTTTTTCTTTTTGTTATAATAGATTTTTACGTATAAAAGTAGTTTGTATTTTAACATGATTATTAAAAAAATATCTTGAATAAATTAATACTTAAAAATTATATTTGTATTAATATAAAACACCTTTAAAAATCAATTACACAAATACCACAAAACCGACAGTTACAAGAAAAATCATAGACAGAGTAAAACAAACCATTTGAACACACAGTTGATATCAGTGAAAAACCTTTACAAGCTGTTTTTGAAATTTGATCATTTCCATCAATTAAAAAAAAAAAAAAAAAAAATGACCTTGGTTCAATACCAGTTTATTTTAAATGACTAGATAATTTAATTTATCTGTCAAATAGAACCCCATCGAAGGCATAATCACAGCTGATAATTCTTATACGTAACCAGGTTTTAAATAATAGTTTCCGAGTGCAGAGTTATTTAAATTTCATTGATCTTGGTATTTTTAACCATGCTGACAAATTTATTCAAAAATAGGAAAACTAGTAAATTAATTCATAAATTGTTAAGTTGTTAAAAAAGCTGAAGTTTCATGTTTTGTAGTAAACATTAATAATTAATAACAAACAATAAAAATTGTCCACTTATTTTGGGAACTCGTAACAATATAAAATGCCGGTAGTGTTATTTTAGATGGGCTTCCTTTACAAATAACGCAGTTATTTTATCTTTTGAGTAGATAATCTATAATTATCAACAAAAACAAATTGTGTTTTTTCTTTTGGAACCATTACTTTTATACATTGAAAAAAATTTTCATTATGAGAAAAAATATCTGTTTGTTTAATGATTAATTTAGTTAAATTATTTTGAAAAACATAGCAGGGACTTATGTTGAGCATTTATGTGATATGTAATATTGTCCAGAAGTAAGTTTGAAGATGTGGTAGCAGCTAAGATAAAGAAAAAAAAAATAAAATAAAAACAAACAGTATTTAAGGACTGCGATAGTTGAATGCTTAGGGCATGCTTTAGCCAGCTAGCAGTTGTGAGTTTAAACCCCAACTGCCCCTGGAATTTTGGAATACATTGCCCACGACACCCAACAGGCAGTTAAGAGTACTTACTATTAGCAAAATTACTTTTCCTTATAGACCCAGCACTGAAGATGAAGAGAAACTGAAATGCACCTAACAAATCTAAATGGTGAAAATAGGGTTTTCAGTTTTACAATAATTCTTTAAAAGTCTGCTATAGCTCTTGTTGACAAACAAGTTACATGTTTGCGGGTTCTAAAATTTGGTGCATTTATGGTGATCTGAGAATAATGAAATAAAAGTAAGTAAAATAATTAATTTATGTCTTCCAGGAGGGCTTAACACTCAACTACCCATTGGATTTTTAAGGACTGTTAGACCACTTTACAATTCATTTTTCACACTTGTCAATTAAAACACCATGGCTCTACCAGGATTCGAACCCAGATCCACTAGGCTATGAGTCGCCCTAACCACTTGAGCACTGCGGACCCCAAGAATAATGAAAAATAAAGATTTAATTCAGTTTTATTTGTATAAGAACATTATCACATTAATATGAATATTAATAAATAATTAAATTTAATAATTTTTATTTTAGAGTATATAAATTTTCAGGGGCGTCAGTGGTTAGAACGTTGACACAGTGATTCAACCCTGAAATTCATTTCCAATCTCGGCGGCCATAAATTCAAATCCAAAACTACTTCTAAATGGACTTTTTTCAGTGGAAAAACATCAGAACAAAAAGAATTTTGAAAAAATCTGTATGCTGTTTACATCAGTTAAACTTGAATGAGACAATAAAAAAATACTAGTTTAACAACTAAAAAAATTAGTTTTATTTTTATTTTTTATGGTATGCTGGCCCATGAAGGATAGTACACTATTTATGAAATGGGTTCTTTTTTTTAGATGTATTTTAACAAATGAAAGATATAATTAGCAAATGGTAGCAATTGAATTTATTGACAGCTTAAAACTACTTGAAGATGCTTAATTGGTTAAGATATTGGTTTGTTACAGTGTATTTTGGTATAGCGATGATGACAAAGCTAGAATCTGACTTAATAATTTATAATATTTCCCTGGGTACTGTACCTCACATCTCACTAGTAAATATCAAGATGTTTTAGCATAATTTGGTTTGGTTTGTTATAGAAACGTATAAAATTTAACAACTTCACTCTAGTGGTTCTAGGTTCGATAGGTAACTCAATGAGTAGTGCCGATTCAGCATGAGTTCACCAACTCGCAGACCAAAACTCATCATCAACCATGAAAGTTAGATATTAAACACTTCTTTGTCATTACTTTTTTCATGTAGAAAATGTTGTTAAGAACTTCTGTTATTTTATTTTAAAGGGAACTAGTAAATATTTACGTATTTAAATCTTCGACCATGGATTTTCAGCATCTAAATACTTATATTAATACACTATCTAAGTAATGCTTAAAGATACACTATAAAAGACCTGTAAGTTCTTTTTTTAAATAGTTTATTAGATTTTCAAAAACAATCAAACTACGTATATCAATTATCCTTAGATTTCTTTGTTTAAAAGTTATTTAAAATTGTGATTCCGATGATGGCTTTAAGATATAGTATACAATACGTTATTAGTGAGTCTGAAGGGGATTAGAATAACATAAAAATTTACACTATTGCTGTAACACTAAGGACTGTTACTTTTTAAAGGTATTTTATAGAGTTGATAATAAAAAATAAAACTTAATTAATGCAAAAAATATACTCTAAATTCCCATTTAGTATTTTGATAAAATGAAAGAAAATTCAATATTTTAGCATGTTGATGTTTGGTTTAGTGATTACACCATGGAGCAATCCTCAAGGATCTTTTAAATCAGAGTGATTATTCAGAAAGTATACTCTATTTTTACAATGCTTTTTTTCACTCCCTCTTTTCTAATCTTCTCAATCTTTGGCATAGCATGATCCTATTATCATGACAAAATACACCAATTAACGTTGTTTTATTGTTTTGTTTTTAAAATTGTCTTTCACACTTTTGAACTCGCACTAATCTCTTTAAATTCCCAAAGCTTTTTTTTTTTTTTTTTGGTAAAAACGTTAAATATTTATATACTTTAATGTTTGGGTAGATATCAAGGCAAGATGGCAACATTTAATGTGTATGTTAAAAATGGGGAATTTTTGTTTGTTAAGGTTGTTTTTCACACTTTCAAACTCAAACTAAAAAATAAAATTACAATATGCACCATATAAACACTTACTTTTATATTAATATTGAAAAGTAAAGTAAAAAATACTTTAAATGTCTGCATATTTGTATATTTAAATGGTAAAGTTAAAAAGTTAAATATTTAAATACTTTGAAGTTGAGGGGGTGTAGTGATTACAGCATGACAATTTTTCTGAAAATGTTCACTATTATTTAACCCTGTCCCGATTTCTTCCATCAATATAATTTTTTTTTACTTTTTAAAAACTTTTCCCCTGAATTTTCAATATTTATGTCATTTAAGGTACTGGAAAATATTAAAGAGCATTCCGATTGTCATGGTAGTATTCAAAAATCCTTTTAACCACTGATTCTTTGGTAAAAAAGTTAAATACTTAAGTACTTTGATGCTTACTTGGTGGTCTCTTGTTATGTTGCAAAATCTTTATTTATTAAGGCATGACAAATTTTTGACTATGGTTTCAATTTCATAAAAATCTCTTTTACACTTACCCTTATTAGCATTTAATTAGTAAAATATAGTCAGTTGAAGAAGAGAAAGGATCTTTTGCTACACTGACATTTTTTCCAGATTAAATCCACTATGATTTTGATATTCTTCCTTATAATTATTTTACAACAGTACAATTTTTTCACAAATCCTGTTTAAATTACTCTCATAGTGTTTAAATAGTAAAGTGGAAAATTAAAAAATTTAAGTTTTGTTAAGCTGGGGTTTTGATAGCACCGTGAAGCTTAAAAACATCAAGGCTCTTTCATTTACAAGAATATCACCCTAAATATTATTAGAGTTTTCTCCCCAAGTATTTTCCAATACAGACTTTAGATCCCTTTAATAATCATTTAATTAACAAAGTTCAAAATTAAAATATTTAAGCATTTGAAATTAGGTTAGTGACAACCCTGAAGCTGCAAATGATCAAGTATCTTCATTTATCATTTACTTAGTAAAGTGAAAAATTAAAAGATTTATGTACTTTGAAGTTGAATAGTAAAGGCGGTGTCATTATGAAAAAGATCAACAATATTTTCCTTTAAGACAATTTTCCCACAAAATATTCACTATTGTTAAAGTAGGAAATTAAAATATTTAAGAACATTTGATAGTTAGTTGGGGCAGTGAAAAAAGCCGAATCTGAAAAAGATCAAGAATCTTTTACTTAGAGATGATTTTCCAACAAAATATTCACTTGTTTGTGAATATGTCAACACCAGACATTTTAGCATTTGTTTAGTCAAATGAAAATTTAAAATAGTTAAGCACTTTGAAGTTGAGGAAAGGATAAAAGATGATCTTACGCATCATCACTTTTGCCCCAATTTTTTTTTTTAATTTGTTGGATCAGTTTCAAATTGAAGATTTCTTTTTAGTAATGAGAAAAAATAAACATTGAGCTGGGGGAAGGGGTGATCATGACAAGAGAGAAGATCTTTTCCATCATGGTTATCAGAAAACTCAACTTTTCAAAAAAAAGTCTTACAGCTTCACATTTAAAAATCTTATTAGTAAAGTGAAAAATATAATAATTCAAACACTTTGAAATTTGGATTTTGATAGTACCATGAAGCTGAAAAAGATTAAAAAAAACAAAAAACCCTACAATTCTTCAGATTAGTGTTTAATTAGCATTGTAAAAGTTTTAAGAAAGTACAAGTTTCGCTTGTGATAGCAGCCTGAAGGTGAAGAAAATCAAGGTTCTTTTTTCTATTTGGTTATTTTGAAAAGATTTCCCAAATTGCATCATGGTAGAATAAACTGAAAATTGAAATTCTTAAATTTTTTGTCTTGAATTAAAAAAAAAAAAAATCATTCAGTTAGTTTTAACTATGTTAATTTATTTTTTAAATTAATTCAATATATTTGCTTAGTGGTAATAATTGACTATATTAATCATTCCAATTAATTATACTTTCAATCTAAGGTTTTTGGTTGAAATGAAAAATTAGTGTCATGAGCGGGATCTGAACTCAGGACCTTCAGCTCGATACACCACTGCTGTAACCACTTGAGCTATCATGACTTTGATCCTTTCGGACATCAACTCCGTATTGAGCTGAAGGCCGTGGTTCGAAACTCGCTCATGTCACTAATTTTTCATCTCAGCCAAAAACCTTAGATAAAAAGAATAATTAATTGGAATTATTTTTTATTGAAGTGAAACATTAAGCACTAAGTTAGAGTTGTGACAGCAGCCTGAAACTGAATAAGATCAATGGAACTTCTGCTTTGGAATGTTTCCCCCCTTACAATTCTCTATTTCAGAATGGTCTCCATCGAAATATATACTTCAAATTTTAAAAAATTCCTCTAATTAATGTTTAATTAGCAAGATAAAAAATGTAAGCATTTAATCATTTTGCAAAATAACCCTTGATAATCAAAGAAAAGATCAAAGATTTTTTGCAATACAGTTAATATTTCTAAAAGATTCTCTCATGTTGCATCATGGTAGAATAACTGAAAATTGAACTACTTTCAATTTTTTACCTAAAATTGAAAAAAATATTTTGTTCAATTAGTTTGAAATATGTACAGTTTATGTTTTAATGAATTGAAAGGGTGAATTATTAAACACTTTGAAGTTAGGGTTGTGACAGCAGCCTGAAGCTGAAAAAGTTCAATGGAACTTCTGCTTCCTAATATTTTCTCCCTTAAAATTCCCTATTTGAGAATAATTTCCACTCAAACATTTTACCATATATCAAATTGAAAAAAAAAAAAATGCCCCTTATTAGTGTTTAATTAGCAAGTAAAGTCAAGAAAGCAAAGTAAAAAATATAAGCATTTAATCACATTGAAAAACAATCCTTGATAATCAAAGAAAAGATCAAGGATTTGTTTAGAGAAGAGCAAAAATTGAAATACTCTGAATTTTGAGTAGCGATAGCACACTGAAACTGAAAATGAACAAGGCTTTTTGTCATCATGGGATTATCCACTGAAATATATGCTTGTTAAAAAAAATTCTGTCCAATTAGTTTGAAATTTTGAAAGTTAAAAATCTTTTTATAAAGTTGAAAAGTAAAACATTAAGCACTTTCAAGTTAGGGGGGCTGTGACAACTGCTGAAGTGTCAAGGATCTTGTGCAGTCGTGCATTTATTCAAAAAATATACAACATTTAAAAAGCTTCATTTTAGCTATAATTAGAATTATGCTCTATTTAAACATTTTTGTTTATTGGATCAGTTTCAATTAATTTTAATCAATCTTTTTAATTCAAATGTAATGTTTCAATTCTTTTAATTAAAGTGAAAATGAGGCAATATAAGCACACTAAAAGTGGGAGGATCGACTGAAGCAAGTTGAAATTACAATGATGTTTAGCATCAAAGTAATAATTCAGAAAAGGCACACTTTTGAAAATTTGTCACACCGAATATTTTACAATTAGTTATTTAATTATTTATGTGAAAATTTTACATTATTAAGCTGAAAATAGCTCTGATTAGACGTACATCTACTAAATGCATAATATTGTTAATTATTAATTGGGCAAAATGAGGGCCCACCTTTTGAGCCTTGGCCAAGAGGATCCAGAGCTTCCTCCATGTCTTGAACTTGTTATCGTCCGAGAAGACATACTGCATCTGCGGCGATGAGTACCTCGTCGAGAAGGGCGACCTGTAGTTGTCCGACATTTCGTTTATGGAAATTTGAATTAAAATTATGAAATGAAATTTAAACTGGTTTTTTTTTCGAAGTGAACGACCGTCGACGTCGGGAGCGAAATTCGAAATGTGGACGAAATTATGAGAACGGTCCCCAGCAACCGACGGTTAATCAACGGCCCATGCCGACGGGGGTAACCACCGATAAGGACGAACCTCTGAACTTAGGAGACGATAACTAATTGACTAAGGACGAAACTCATTTTTTGTTAAAAACGTCCAACGTTGCTATCTTGAATTGCTTTTTTTTGGAAAGGGATTTTAATTATACATCCAAAAAATTCGTACTGACAAACCTCCGCAGATATCAACAGACTTGACAAATAATCCTCAAGATGCTTTGGAATTATTGTATAATCTAGTTAATTATTGTGTGCACGCACTGCAGTCAGCATGGCGGAACTGTATGCTAGTGATGAATTAAAAATAAAATCTTTATCAATGGAGAATATGTATTTTGTCTAATATTTTTGGCTTTCTATATGTAAGCTATTGATTCCTTTATTATTTATATAGACTTTTTTACTTCAACAAGTTAAAAAATTGACCAGTCAGGAATCGATTTTTAATCGATATTAGCGACTTTTATATTGGATCACATTTTGTAGATTTTTAAAATAAATATATGTAAAGAAAATATTTTAAAAAAAGTAGTGCGCAGTCGTATTAGTTTGACTTACAAGATAATGTTTATTGTTTTTTGTGATATTTATTTATTAATAATAAATACATGTAAATCGATTTGAACGTTTAATCGATTATACGACGCTTCCCATCTTTCCGCTGTTAACGTCTAACCTTCCTTTCTGGATCGGCCCATTCCAATTTGGAAAGTTCCCAGTGGCATCGTATACGTAAGTCAAACGTTCCATAGCTATCTCAAATATTGAGTTTTTATGCTTTTTTTTCGATTATTTTCCCTCGGGTTTATTTACGGAATTTAAGTACAAATGGAAGAATTTCGGTTCATAGGTGGTAAAGTGAAACTCTTAGGGAAAATTACCACCGCCCGCCGGACCACGTGTCCACCCCTAGTCCTCAAGGCGAAGCACGTTTTCAAAATTGTACAAAATCTATATCTGCATTTAGATTAATGTTTTTTTCTCTTTACTTAAAACTCCTGATTCAATTGTTTGAAAAATAATTTTTGATAATTCTTCCATGTGTAATATTTAGGTTATTCCCGTTCATTTTTTTTTTTTATCCCTACGGGTTATTATGTTAACTTCTAAAGATGACCACATTTTTATTTAAAATCTGCAATACAGTTTTGTTCTATACACGAGATAAAAAAACGCACTCGTATTTTATTGTTTATTTCAAAATTGGGCAACAAAATTTATATTTTCCTTTCGATTAAAGTTTTTTCTCGTTACTTAAGAAATCCTAATTTCAATAGTTTATTTTACGGGTCAACCCCCCCCCCCTCAATAAATATATATACAATATAATGCTTATAACTAACTCAACATTAATATAAAATTTCAATTAATTATTTTTTTTATGCAAGGTCTTGGTTGAGATGAAAAGTAAGTGCCACAAGCGGGATTCAAACCCATGATCTTCGGCTCGATATGTCGCTACACCAATCATTTGAGCCATCGTGAGTTCAATCCACTCGGACACCAACTCCCTATCTCAAACAAGACCTTACATAAAAAGTATAATTAATTGAAATAAGTAATTTGGTCAATTATATCACTAAACATAAATGGATTAATATTTAATAAGTGAAGAAGTATCACTTCACTAAACAGCAACCCGTGGCCACTTGATAAGTTTCTGTGATCACACAACATTTGAAAAATGGCAAAATTTGAAAGATTGTAGGTTGAGATTGGAAGTTGGTGTCCGAGGGGATCGAAGTCACGATAGCTCAAGTGGTTAGAGAAGCGACATATTGAGCCGAAGGTGGTGGGTTTGAATCTCGCTCGATTAATTTTTCATCTCAACAAAAAACCTTAGATAAAAAGAATAATTAATTGGAATATCGAGTGAATTGGTTTCCTACACTGTAGGAACTGGAAATTCACTAAGCATAATTATTTTACACCAAATTTGGTTTTTCTAATATGGGGCAGAACAATAGTTATCAAAACTATGGTTCTGCCCCATGAGTTGTGTTCAGGAAAAGTATACAAATAACGATTATTTGGAGATCGTGAGATGTGGTCTGGTGGTCTCACTATCTCCAAATAATTAATTAACGGCCATTAAACACTACCCATACAAAATAACTCCATGATTAGCCGATAAGTTGATTTTATTGATGACATAAATGCCAAAGTTGTTAATCAGCTGAATTCAGATTGTACAAAGTTTTAATAATTTGGACGAACTACAAGAACTGATCAGCTTTCGTTATTTGAAATTGCCTTATCCATAAGAATTCATAAAGATGTGGATGAATATCGTGAAATCCTCCATGTAGCTTGCATTTCATGGCCCACCATGTTGATTCGATGGTTTGCGTGTGTGCAAGAGTATCTATGTCAAGAAAATGAAAAGCGTGGTTGACCGTCTGATGAGAATATTTCATTTTGATCAATCTTCTTTATGCTTTCCTTCTACTGGTTGTAGATTATTGTTGTCACAAGTTTCACATATTTTGTTATAAGTGGTAAGAGGCTCATGGCATCCCTTTTATTATTAGGACAAATTTCAAAGCGAAATGCTTTGGTGCTCCGCTCAGTTAAACCGAAAATCCACTGCCCTTCAACTAATCTGCCTCAGTTACATTTTCTCCTCTCCACCTTCGATTCATCAGTTTCAACAATTGAGCCTGGCCCATCAATTTGCTCAAAATTCTATTTTCAGCCTAGAACTCACAAACCTCCTGACAATGATCATATCCGGATGAGTCCTGCTCTTGACACCAATTTTTCAACTCATAATTGCATAAAAATTATAAATGGATGAGTATGATGTTATTTGAAATAGGTAAGGTCCTATTTGTATCTCGTATCCTGGAGAGTTAGATCAAAACTTTATGGATCATAAGAAACGATAACAAAAAATAAAAATTTACATATCCAGGTCTTTTTCCCAATAAAAAAATGTTTGTTTCCAAAAAGAATAATAACAATCTTGTAATATTTACAGGATACTCCTTGTTTAACGTAATCGTTAAAGATGTCGGGAAAATTAGATATTTTAAGCCTGAAGGAAGAGGATGTGACTAAGATGTTGAGTGCTACCACTCACATCGGAAGTGACAACGTAGATTACCAGATGGAGCAGTACATTTATAAGCGCCGTTCTGATGGTATGAGATGCTAATGACACAAAATAGTAGTTTTTTGCATGCTTAAAATAATATTTTGATTTTAGGTGTCCGCATCATTAATTTGAGACACACTTGGGAGAAACTTCTTCTTGCTGCTCGTGCTATCGCTGTTATCGAGCACCCAAGCGAAGTTTTTGTAATTTCATCTAAAACTTATGGTCAGAGGGCAGTGTTGAAGTTCGCTGCACACACTGGTGCTACAGCCATCGCCGGAAGGTTCACACCTGGTGCTTTTACCAATCAGATCCAGGTACTTTTGATACTGCTACTATTTAATTATAAAGTTAAATATAACTTTTGTTAATATTTCTTTTCCTTTTTGAAGGCTGCCTTCCGTGAGCCCAGGCTTCTTGTTGTCAGTGATCCTCAGAACGATCATCAACCTATCACTGAAGCCTCCTATGTCAACATTCCCGTCATAGCTTTTTGCAATGCTGATTCACCTCTCCGTTATGTTGATATTGCCATCCCTTGCAACAATAAGGTATATCACTAAATGAATATATTTTGTAATTTATTGTTGTATAAAAGAAAAGCACTATTAGATTATTCCATCTATTGGAAAAAAATTATGCTTTAATTGTACAAATTGATGCGAAGAATACAAGTCGTTTATTGATTAATTTTGATTTTCAGTCTGTCAATTCCATCGGGTTGATGTGGTGGCTCCTTGCCAGGGAGGTGCTGCGCTTTAAGGGCAAGATCAAGCGCGACACTAAATGGGACGTGGTCGTCGATCTGTATTTCTACAGAGATCCTGAAGAGGCGGAGAAGGAGGACCAGGTGACCAAGGAGGTCGCAGCACCAGTACCTGCTAAACCAGTCGAAACCGATTACACCGCAGGTGTGGCTGAGAACTGGCCCGACAACGGCGAGCCGGCAGTTAGGCCATCCTGGGGAGATGAACCAGTCGCGGCTCCTGCTGCTGCTCCGTTGTTGCTGCCCAAGAAGGCAACAGGTGTTCCTGAAGGAGAATGGGTTACAGCACCCCAGGTACATTTTTAATATTTTTTTAATGTTTCAATTTTAATCCCTTCAAATTTTTGATATATCTAGGCTTTACTGCTTTGTTAGAAACTCTATAAAACTTGTTTTATATAAAGTGTAGTTAAGATTTAAAATTGGTGTCTCACTAGTGGAGTCAAACTCAGCCTCCGCAAATTCGCTCCTGGAGTCAAATACGTTAATACGCCACTGTTCTAACCAGAGCTATATGACTTCGGTCTCCCAGGACAACAACTCATCATCTCAACCTAAAACTTTTTTCAAATTTCCTTCTTTTTGCTATATACTCAAATTTCGTGTAATCATAATATTAATGCATGTTTTTGGTAAAGATAAAAAATTTGCTGAAGGTCGTGGGTTCGAGTTTTTCCCATGATACATAATTTTTGATCTCAACCACATTTTACATATAAATTATAAATCAATGTCAATCATTTCTTTGGTTAAATAGGACCTATTAAAAACATCTGAATTATTTAATTGTTTCTACTATTATAAATAATATTTTTTTGTTTTTCTTATCTTTCAGCCGGAAGAATGGGCAGGTAATACCAATTGGTAATCTGACATTTTTTATTAAATAAAGGACTTCTTTCAAAGCGTATGTATTTTTATTCTAAACCCCCATGTATACACGCCTATAGGAAAATTAAAATATCACAGGTGTGATGTGTGTGGCCAATTTAAATATTAACTGGAAAATAACCAATTTGTTTTGAAGAGATGGCCCGTTGGGGATCTGAAACGCAAGGAAGGAATCGTGCTCATCGGTTAGGATAGGCATACTCGATCAACACACAGACAGCTGCTTTTGGGGCAAACCCCACGCAGGTGTCCCGCTTGTAGAGAAAGGTTGCTCAGTGATTACACTTGGCCCCTTACAGGGAGCGTGTAGGCATGGCAACCCGACATAATGCTAGTCCTTGGGCCTGAGAGTGGGTTGTTAGGCCTGCTGTTCCGATGTTTAAGGAAAACAGGGGTTTCCTCATTATACAATTATTATTGATTTATATGTGTACAAAGTTGTTTGGGTGAATGTGTAAGGAAGCGGGTTGGGGACGGAGCATCAAGTACCCCGTCGGCCCTCACAGTGAATTGGGGGCTGATGTGACTTCACTGACGGTAGCCTACCATAAAAAAAGAGAAAATAATTTGTTAATAAAAAGTATCCAACAATTAAGTGTTATGTTGCAATTAACCAATAAAAGTCTTGACATCTTTAACAAAGAACATAGGAATTATTAAAAAGCTAATAAAGAACATAAACACTTGTATGATCTCCCCATACTGGCGCTCCGTAACAAAAATGTTAGCACGATTTAAAGTGGTGGAAAGTTTATTTTTGCCGAAACAGGAATTTTTGTTTATGTGTTATAAAAAAAGTTCCCTAACCATCCCTAAAAAAGTTCCACACAGAAATTGGACATTTTTTTTCTTTTGATAATTTGACATCTAAATGTTTATATAAATTAAATAGATTCAAAGATTATAATTTTCTTTTTATGCAAATGCCATTTTTCTGAATGAGAACTCCCTCCATTATGGTGTAAGCGGTGTGATGGCCAAACCATCTCTACATTCGTTTGCTTTTATCGAAGCGATAAGAGAGTACTCGGTGTAAGCGCCTCATTACTTATTTTCGTGCAGGGGAAGTTAAGGTTTGAGAATTTAATAAACCAGAGAATATATTCTCAAACATTTATTTGAACACAATTCCGCCTTTCAAATGTATGTAACCACAATAAAATTTAATTAATTGATTTAGTCTGCCACAACTCTAAATCAGTGACGAGTCTATTAACATAGGGACTTACTAGAAATGACACCCAACGGATCAGCATCTACAGCATTATCAAAGCCTTTATGGCTTCTTGACAGTCAACCTGATCCAATGAGTTGTTCCTCATAAGTCCTTGCTGACGGAGTGTCACAGATTCTATTCTGAGTTGACTGTTCACCGGTTTGAACCCTTGGTCTAGACTGACTTTTGATTTACAAATCATTCCTTTTCGTACCAGTTTCTCTACTAGAGTAAAGGTGGGAGGAAAATAAAAAGTCATGGTAGTTAACATGCCATGGGTGGACCGGCGAAGATGGGTGGTCGTGCACCTGGTAGACGCAACACAGGTTTATGATGTCGACGTCACTAAAATTTTTTAGTCTTGTGACAGCCCTTTAGCACTAAATAACTCGGTTATTTGATCGGTAGTTTAACTATGGCAACTTTGTTTTCGGTCCCAGGTTCGTGGGAACATCCTGTGGCTCCCATGTGGGTCTGCAACACCCTTCAATTGGTCATATTTATCTGATCAACTGGGTAATTATTGCATGGCTAGGTTTTCCTCGTTTATGAGAAACGTCACGTTGCTGTGTTATGACACCCTTTGGCCAACTGTGTAATTATTGCACTTATGTTTCCCAGACATTGTTCCCATCCGGGTGATCGCTTCTTCTGATTTATTTTTTGCATGGTCATTTAAACTAAAATGGCAAACCTTAATTTTAGCTTTGCTTAAATTTATTTTTAAATCCCATTTATTGCAACATTATAAAATAGTGCTAATATTAAATTGTAATTACACCAAGTGAGAAAAAGCCAGAACAAAAGCACTCCTACTCACCGTAAGTACTTATTGTGAGTAGGAACTATCTTTTTAAAAAGGATTAAAGCACATTTATTCTTCGTACTATTCATATTTAAACCTCCTTCTTCAACATCATTTATAAAAAGTGTGAACAACAATGGACTTAATAAAGCACCTTACTTCACTCCCATTCTAGCTCTAAAGTGCTAGGATATGTATTTTTGCATCTTACCACAACTTCAGTATTTTCGAGAGATCTTTAATCATTTTCACTATCTAAATAGAGAATCCTCTAGAATGAATGTTAGAGAACTTCATCAAAGACAAAATAGAAAACGCAAGTTAATTTAAAAAATTGCATACCTTTTGTTGACATTTAACAGCCATTTTGTTAAATAACCCACTTCCAAATTAAATTGTGCACTAAGGGCACTGGTAGACTAAATTTTGATCTTAGCCAAAAGGCGAGAAGCATCGTTCAGTTCCAGATGCTTTGTTAATTCCTTCAAGCAGTTTAGAAAATAATACACTGAAGAGTAAAATTTGAAATATCCGAAAGGATTCATGAAGAAACCAAATGGAATTCTATATTATATGCCTGGGGACTGCGGTAGCCGAGTGGTTAGCATGAGAGACTCTCACGCTGCGGTCGTGGGTTCGATTCCCACCGTCGCCTCTGGCCCTTTTTTCCCGATAACCCGGAACACACAAGAATTCGTACTATGGCTAATATGCAAGATCATAAGGCCAAAAAAAAAAAAAAAAAAAAAAAATTATATGCCTTAGTTTACCATAGCAAATTTAAAAGTCAGGTTAAGAATATATTTTTTAATTATTATTATTATATAAATTATTTTATTTTTACAAGAATTCGTACTATGGCTAATATGCAAGATCATAAGGCCAATAAAAAAAAAAAAAAAAAAAAATTATATGCCTTAGTTTACCATAGCAAATTTAAAAGTCAGGTTAAGAATATATTTTTTAATTATTATTATTATATAAATTATTTTATTTTTACATGTTTTTGGTATATTGCAATACAATACAAAAAAGCAATAAATCTTTGGTCGGAAATAGTTTGAAGCATATACTTGTAGTTGACAATCATGCTGAACATATAAAAATTCGTTGAGTCCATTGAGGAACTCTGAACTGATATCACATAGTTATATATCTTGAAATACTTAAAATAATAAATTAAATATATTCAACTGTGTTCTGTTGAAGATTCAAAGTAATGCTCGAGAAGCTCAAATACGAAGCCGTTTGTCCATCCAAATCCCGCCTGTCCCTCGTACTCACCACCAGTTCCAGATTTCCCAAAGCTCGTAGCATCGTACTAAATAAATGAATTGTTATACCTCACACAAGACTTGTGCAATATAAACTTACTTTTTCAAACATTTTACGTTCATCTATGAACCCTTTGTAGTTGGACTGGAGCCATACATTTGCAAAGTGGGACGCAACGGTTGAACCCAAAGCCGTATCAGTTCTCTCTAAGCCCTGGATGAGGAACGCCTGGAGAGGTGCCCAAGCGTTTGGATAATCCCATTGCTCGTTGGAATAAACCAAAGATGTCGGTGTACCTCCTAAAACATACTTTTTATATAACTGTAGGTTTTAAGCCAAACTAGCTCACCAAAATAGTCGAACAACGCGTTTTTATTAATGTATTTCACAACGCCTTTTGCCAAGTTTGATTTATTTCGGACGTACGACTTGGTCCAAAGAGGTGCGAAATTCGACATGTAGAAGTATTCCCTTTGCTTGTTGTTCAGCGTGTCATAATCGAACCATACGCTGTTTTTCTCATTCCACAACACCTGGAAATAAGCCTCTGGTGAGAATAAGATCTTTTCATTTTAAATACTGATTACATTGTCTATAGCTTTTTGAAGATTATTTGCTAAGTTCCCATAGAAATGGGATTTGTCGTCATCTTTAGAAATCGTCTTGTGCCAGGTTGAGAGGAGGACGAAGCACTTGTGGAGTATAGCGTTTAAGTCGACTGGGATTATATTTTCCGTGTGAACATCAATAAGAGTACCTTAAAGCATTAAAAAAATATTGATAGATATACTCAGCAACATTTTTAAAAACAAAAGATTTATTTTATGTATGCACAATTGGGTTTCTGACAGTTTATATTTTATAGATTTTTTAAAAATTAATATTTTTTAATGCTCTTATGAACTGCATATTAGCCAAGGAGATGTGTATTATATGCATATGCGTACTTTTTTTTGGGGGGGGGGAAGGATATCATGAAAAAAGAACAGGGTTGACAGTGGAAATTAAATCCATGACCATAAGGTCTATGAGCCGAGAGTCCATCACACTAACCACTCGTCTGTCGCGGTCCTCTGGTTTATTTTTTTGGATTGGATGTTTTTTGGGAGTCTGCAAGTCAAAACTATGGAATATGTAGCCAAATGTATGTATACCACCAAAGTGTTAGATATATAGCTTGGACAGCTGAAAATTCCCAAAAAACATACATCCAACAACATTGTTTAAGTGCAGACGTGTATTGTATTTAGTAAAACAGCAATAAGGTTTCAAAAAAATTCCTGGAATATGGAAGGTGGCTCATAATGATAGCGAATTTCACTGTCATCATTCCACAGTCCAGCAAGATTGGTACAAATGGTACCTTGTAAACTTCGAGTGCAAAGAATATTGTATGGGAGCCTTTCTTGATGCGGTGCAAGTGTTCAGCCGCGTCTCAAGGGTTTGTTACAAACTGAAGCATACCCTTCCATGTACCATCTAACCCTTGGTCCTTTCAGGTCTGACAAGAATAGTAGTACTCTGACTCTAGCCACGGGAGTACCGTAAGGTAGTGTGTTTGGACCAATCTCTCCTTTGTACCGCAGATGTCCCAAGTACATACACCACTCTTTGCATCCTTCGCTGATGACATCACAGTACCCTCTGATCTCCTGCATACTTAAGAAGATGTGCAGCGACATCAATGGAAAATATAGATCAAGTAAGTGCCACATTTACTCTCCAAAGCAAATCTCTCACAATCTACTACAATGTTCCTATCCCCCAAATCTGACTGATACCTTGGCTACCTAGGCTCATGATTAACATGGAACTATAAGCTACTGAAACAACCTATGTTCTACAGACTTATGGAATGATAATTTAAGCTATTGATGAAAAACAAACTTACAGCCTACAAGTTTCAACCTTCAAGCCTATTTTGACATCCAGCATGGAACTTTGGAGGAATACTAAACCTTTCAATCGAAAGTCTTCAGATCCATAAATGTTCTGTATTGTCCAATACTACCCTCCAGAACTACTCGTAAATGCCATCTATCCAAATATGGCATTTACACCCAATATATAGATATTTACCAAGTTTCACCCCTCTCTACCTTAATAGTCTTGTCCAACAAATCCCATCCCTGCAATCCTATAAGAAGGAAAGATGGCAAAACCTGGTAAACCACCCAATGAAGTTTCGTTATATAAACGCAATTCCCAGTGTTTTCAAAACTATTCTAGAATCTGAATATTGCAGATATATTATAGTGAGCTATGATGGCCACATATAGTTATCGCTAGATGCCACTACTGCTTATGGAATGTTCTCGCCCTACACTCTGCAGCTAGAGTAGAGCCCTTCCGAATATAAGGAGGGGCACTGCTCCACTAAAACCAGATTTGTCTAACGAGCTCTCACAAATCACTAATGGAACACCTTCATCGACAACGATGACAGCAAGAGTACTCACAGCATTAGCCTGATTCTCGCCTTCTCAATACAGCCAAAAAACCCCAACTGCTGCACTCGGATAATTACTGCACTAGAGTTCCTTCAGCCACTGTGGTGTCAACTGACTCACGGCCCCCGGACCTCAGCCAACAGTACACATGGTCACGGACCACCATCAACAGCACACATGTACGGTCCTGGCCTCGATTTATCGGCTCGACGCTATGAAACAACACCGGTCCTTTTAAGGGCCACCAAAACCAGTCACTAAATGAGCTTTAGAAGAAAAACATATTATCTGTGCTTTTGGACATTCCTCGATTTATCTAAATCCTTTGACTGGTTGCTTACGATATACTTGTCAGTAAATTGGAGGTACATAGTAGCACATGGTTTGGCTCATATGTCCAAGGAAGGCAGTCTACAATATTAAAATTGGTAATCTTTTATAAAGCATGATAATATAGGAGTTCCTCAAGGGAGCATAATAGGCCTACTAGTGTTTGTAAATGACCTATCCTCCTACCCTACCTGTTCCCTCAATAAGCTGTGGTAATGACTCTAACTTTGTGGTTCAAACTCCCCTTATTGCTTTATTTGAACTGCTAAAATATTTTATGGAGCAAGCCAGGGGTTTGATATTAACAAGTTTGACTTGAATCATTCTAAGTCATCAGGTGTAAACTTCAGCATGGCATGTACTTGGATAAATGAAATTCCCTCTTTGCTTAATTTTTCGGGTGGACATTGATTGTTGTGGATAAACAAGATTATTGAGTATTAAACTAAACTAAACTTTTTTGGAAATGAAATTTTTTTGTCACGCGCGGGATTTGGACCCATGACCTGCTCTAACCACGAGCTTCTGTGACTTCGATCACCCATCCTACAAACTTTTCATTTCAACTCCAGTTTATTCCAGTTGTAAGCAAATCGCATCTTCATATAGAAACACATTTTATTAATGATTGTACTACATTGCGGAACTGTGTATATCTGCAGTGTGATTCTACGTTAATACAAACTTTTATTACTTTTTACTGTCACTGCTACATTTAAGATTTGATACTGGATTTAAGAGATGAAACCAGTTGTACACCAGTCCTCTACTGCTAACAGCCTGTTATGCCCTTTTTTGTCTCATGAAAGATATGGCATTGGATTCTAGAGCAGTGATGCGAACCTGCTTCATAAGGTTTTCTTACTTTAAAAGATAGTTTGAGAATGATTTTATAAACTGATCTGGATATGGAATTGTGGGACAGTGCCAAAGAATAGCCGATGTACAAAAATTCCTAGACAAAGTACTAAGGAACATAGTTGATACCCCATGGCATATAGGAATAGCATGTACCACGAGGGAAATTAAATTTTCAATTAATTCATCGGGACCTGAGGATACCACAAATCATGTCAGGTCTTGAGATATACCCAAAAACATAAATGTTGCCTCCAAGGACCTCCAAACATAGAAGCGAGTCTATTACAGGAGCAAAGCCACCTTCCAGGCAAATACAGAAATAAGGTCTATTAAAAACACCAGTCAAAAATCAAATGTGCCAGTAGATGTTAATAAGGAAAATATGATAACCATTATTTGTCTTGTCTTTGATGAACCATCTGGTCGAGAAATCCCATCCAGACTCTGCAGATGATTTGAGATTTGTGTACAGTCTCTGTTTCTCTTCTAGAGTGTTTAAATCTGAGGCTAACGTGTAGTCCTGGCTGAAATCATGAGCAGTATTAAATATTTGATGTTAAGTTCAATATTTTAATGTACTCACTAGTACGACTCTGGCCGTGGGCCTGCAGAAGGTGCATAGTATCTGAACATGCTATATTCGTGACCATCCTTCTTGACGGAAACTTGCCTGTTGGTTAGGAAGTATTGCATCTCTTGGTCTAGCAACTGGAGAAAAAATATATTACTGTTTCAAGAAAAGCCAGAAGGATTAAGGAAAATACCTCAAGGTTGTCTTTGATGAACTGTTCATCTTTGGTTCTTTTGTAGTACGAGTCGACCATAAGATTGAGCATAGGTGGTTGAGTTCTTTCCCAGTAATAAACTCTACTGCCATTCGGTACGTGTCCTCTTTGTTTGACAAGGCTTAGCAGATTTTCGATAATACCTTAGAAAATATTTTAATTAAATTCAAAATCCAAATAGGAACGTTTTCATCTTACCTTTTGCAGTTGTTTCCATATCACAGATTAATAAACCATTAATTATCCAGAATGTGTCCCAGTAGTACAACTCCCTGAACCTACCTCCTGGGACTATAAAACTTAAAAATGTTCACTTTTATTTACTTTTCCAGTTTAAATATCACTTTTAAAAAATACCCATTTGGTACATAGATGAGAGATGTATGCTCTGGATGCTGTTTCGCTTTGTTGTTCATTATGCGACCTAACTCCTTCCAAATGTTATTCAAGTCTACGGCCCATTGTCTATATTGCTTCACAGTTATTTTGTTGATTATCGACGGATTCGACGTCCAATCGGGCGGGTCCCATCTCTGGAAGAAGATACGTCAAGGACTAATAAATTAGAAAATTGTTTAAATGGCTCACATCAAGCTCTTCACACTGGTTCTCAGAGGTAGTGCAGTTGAGGAAATTTTCAGAAACAAATTGTTTTACAGTGTCAGCATTTTTGTCCTGCAGAGCCGCAAATTTGTTAAGAACCTGGAAGAACACCAAAAACCATTTTGTATTACAAGATGTGAGGAACATTGGTGAATGTGATACTTCACTACAAGTGAATTATTTTATTATTGTATTATTAGTATTATTTTTGAAGGATTACTTCTTTGCTCAACCACAAGTGTATTGTTTATAAGTTGATTGGAAGAAATAAATAGTCTTTTCCACAATAGACGTTTCCCATCTTCAGTGACTTTTTTTTTAATAAAGTGGTTTGACATAGTTATAGGTTTAAAAGTGGATTTTTTTATATGTTTTTAATTGTTTATTACTGAGATCCAGAGAAAGGTTTTCTGGTTTCAATAATTTTGCCTTGACTCGACCAGTTAGTCTGGTGCTAGGTCTGGTAAATTTGGTTCAAGAGGTAATGTGCACGAATAAGGAAATTTTCACAGCTTTGAGCTAATGAATGTTTAGAAATTTATTGTAAGTAATAAAAATAAATAAAAAATTACAAGATGGATACATATTGGATTAAAAAAAAAAAAAATAAAAAAATAAAAAATGAAAGGATTGCTGATATGACGAATTATTCCCTTTCTTTTCATCTGGCCAATAATAGTAATAGATTAACTGCACATAAGAATAAAACTGATGGCTACTTTTTCAACTGTTCTATATTTTATCTTGATCCGATTATCTTAGGAATGATGTTGAATATTTTATACCCTGCATAAACCTCGTATTTTTATATTATTTATTATTATTATTTTAAATTAAAATATTGTTCAGGCTATTCCATTATGTTTTAGATGCTTTGTATGTTTTTATTTTATGAAAAGAAAGATTTTACCGATATCCGGAGAAAGGTTTTCTTGTTTAAATAATTTGCATTGACTCGACGAGTTAATCTGGACGTGCTAGGTCTGGTAAGTTTGGCTCAAGAGATAGTGCACAGGGATAAGGAAATTTTCACAGCTTTGAGCTATTTCGCAATTTGACTAAAATGTGATTGTTCATGAATGATTCATTTGAACAGACACAAATATAGAAAGTGATGATTTGGCCGAGCAGCCTCTGAAAAATCGCATAAGCACCTCAAGGAAGTTTTTTAATCTGGAAGAGACCGCGACCAAATAAAACAAAATCAGTTATGTCCTTTGACGAAGCAGCTAAAAGTATCTGATGGATACTTGTGCAAGATCTGTTTTTGAAATGTAATGACCGGTCCAAAAAAGAAGTCATATTAGGCAGTGGGAACCTGCCCAATTTGGTAATGGCATAGTCCTTGCAAAAATCAAAGCAAAAGCGATTTGTACTATTATGTTGTTTCACCACTGGCTGGACCATGGACTTTGCGATAGTTTGATAAGGCCTACCTGCAACATTTTATCTATTGCTTTATTAATTACACCTTGTATCACTGGGATCATCAATTGAATACACGAGCCCAGTTATACCTTTCGATGTTTCATCTGTTTCAGTAACTCATTCAATAATTCATTGAATTATTTCGATTCTTCAAGTTCCAAATGTTTAATTCCTGCAACTGGTGTAAGAGGAGAGTTTGGTTCCTTGGAGAAACAAAAAGTGTTATGTGGTTGACCTATGAACTACTAAGTATCTGCTGCAGTATCATTGGTGTTACACCAAGTGACCTCAGAATATTCAACCAAAGTAAACATGGAATAGTTAAGGTCGTCAAGTAAGGCGAAGATTAAGATGTCCGTCTAGGCTGGTATTGAAGACAACGGCATTTCGGACTCTTTCTTGAACTCTATTAGCCACAAAAACGTCATAAGGTTTAATATACAGGTGGAATTAGAGCCTGACTTTAATGAACATAATGAAGCACCTAGGCCGACCAAAGCAGCGATATGTCTGAATTTCAAACGAGAAAAAAGACGATATTTGTTGTCGAACACGGCATATATTTGGGTCGTGCTTTGCTGAGATCCAGATTTATTGAGCTCTTTTAAGGAAATTCCAGGGACGGCTGAGACCTCTTCGGTCATTAGACAGACAAGGAGAGAATGAATTTTACCTACAACGTCCTTGGGTTTGATTTCCTCATTTCCTGTCTTTTCTTTTTGTTTGCTGTGAAGGTTCCTTAGCGAGAGTTTGTTGTAACAAAAGAGAAATATTAGTTGGTGGAGGATGATAGCCCGCTTCTGGGACCAGGTTTTTTGATATACGAGGCGGACGGAAAGTCTTTGTTCTTTCTTCAAATCTCTCAAACTGTCCTAGGTTCAACAGTTTCGATAGGGACGTCGCCTCAGACTATCTCATGTACGTTTGGTATTTAGGGAGGAGATTGCGATAGTAGACTTGCTTCTTCGGTCTACGGGTGGCGGATGGGTAAGTCTCTTGATTTTCTTCTGATAGGCGGAAAGAAAGTACACTGGAAGGGTGTGCTTCGAAATAGTTCGGGAAAATATGCCAGAAGCTCAGTCCCTTCGATTTTATAAGCTCAGGCTTTTCAACGACGTTTAGAAGAAAGTCTTCCGCGCTAAGGGATGGAGCCGATTTCAGAGCATAAGCATACACAGAAAGTGGTCAACGGGTCTTTGCACAGCCCTGTGTTAATAGTAGCTTCCGGGATAGACTTGTCTTGATCCATAGGTCTGTCAGAAGTACGAACCAAAGATATGGATTTGAAAGAAAACAGTTCTTCGAATTCATAGGTTCTCGACAATATCTAGCCGTTCTATGTTTAAGAGGATAAGTGACCAAATCTGAATCTGGCATTAAGAGAAGGAAGATAGTCTAAACAATCCAAATATTAAAGAAAACAGGTAAATGAGTGATAACATTTACACCCAATAAAATGAAGTACAAAATATTTTAAAATTAAATAATGTAAAGAAGATATGACATCAAAACTAGAAAAAAATTAAAATATAGATGACAAATTAAACAAGAATGTATGGTTAAGTAAGGAATATTACGATACATATAGAAAATAATGAATCGAACTCAATTGAAAATAGAAAAGAAAAATGACTTAGACGCAAATCGTAGCAAAACAACAAACAGAGGTTCCCTAAGGACTACAGGAACTCAGGAGAAGAGCATCCGCAGACCTAAACAACTTAAAGAGATCGATGTCAGTGGAAAAAAGATCGCCCTGACATGGGTTCCCGGGCACGTTGGTATAACCGGGAACGAACGAGCAGATAAGTCAGCGGATTTACAAAGGACGATTGCTATTGGTATAAACAATTAATGGAAAATCCGCTGGAACGAAAGAAACACATCGGAACTATACAAATGTAAAAAAGAAAACGGTCCCTGGCCTGTGGAGATCTTACGGTTGAGTATGGGTCATACCAAGATTACACACGGACATTGATGATGGATGGAGGTGAGACCACGTAGGTGTCCGTTGCGTGGAGAGCTTATTATGGTAGAGTATATAATAACGGACTGCAAAGAACTAAGCAAAGAAAGAAATATGACATCAGGAAAGACCTATGCGCGGCCTTGAGGCTTGGCAGCAGGCACAGATAGCCATTTATGACCCTGATGTGTTGCTGTTGAAGGTACGTTTGTACTATGCGAGCGAATAGTGGACGGGCATTATCGTGCATTAGAATAGTATTGTCGCTTATTTTATCTTAGATAGGCAACGCACGATGTTCCAAAATTTCATCCACATAGGGGGAGGCCGTCAAAGACCTTCCACGAACTACAACCAAATCTTTGCGACTCTCCATTGAAATCCCGCCCACATCATCACTGAGCTAGGTTTAAAAGGTTGGCTCTGGGAAAGATTACAGGCTTCGTACCTTTCATTTCGTCTTCTCCACACACTTTCACGCCCATCTGGAGATCGTACAGCAAATCTACACTCATCTTTAAAAAGTACAGCTGACCAATCGTCCATAGACCAATGGATGTATTCTTGAGCAAATGGGAGCCGTGCAACTCCGTGTGTTCTGGTCAATTCTTTAAGGGGCGAAAAGCCATCAGTCCGTACTGATTTAATCTTCTTCGAGCAGTGCGTTCAGAAATTTGGACACCTTGAACTTCCTGGAGCTGCTGAATCGTTTGAACGTAAGGAGCCAGTTTCGCAAAATTCTCAAAGTCAAAAAACGGTCATCCTGTGGTTCTACTACCCTAGGGCGTCTAGAACCGGGCTTTTTATGGTAGGACCCAGTTTCTCGAAAACGTCTAACGGCGTCTCGCAGAGTTTCATAGGGAACTCAACTGACAATAGCCGCATACCGGATGGAACGTCCACCATCGATAAGTGCCGCACCACGCGCAACATCCTCACCACTTAGTGGCGTTTTAAGTTTAAAAATTGAAATTAAGAAAACAAAGATGAAAACTAAACAGTATATTGCTTCAGAATTCGAATGAGGCTGATTAAACATTTAAAATTCCGTAAAAAGAAAACATTGAAAAATCCTTGCATAGATTTAGAATAGATTTTACATTTCGTTTACAAATTGCAGATTTAGGTCTTTTTGAATTTTCGTACTGAAGGAGAAAACTAAATTAATAATAAGAAGGAACAAATGGACAACAAAACAATATAAAGGGATATTGAGAAAGAAGGTACAAAGAAAGATGGACGGTTTATATGAGTTAGTAAATTAGAGCAAGGGAGAAGAAAATGAAAAAAGATTGGATCGGATTTTCAAGTTTAAAAAAAACTTTCGAACTAAGCGGAGTTCTCGCGACTTTTCAGAGGCTGCTCGATGATGGCTCATCATTGCCGATATTTGTGTCTGATCCAAAACCATAGAAAAAATAAAAGAACGTAGAAAGGTAGCGAAGTTAAAATTTCGTAATGCCTCTGCGAGAACATATCCTATATAAAATATTATAATTTATATAGGAGAGAATCAACATTCCATAAGGGGTAAGGGGGTATGATCATGCAGGCCCAAACTCTCTTCAGGGAGAGTTTGCCTACAAACTTGCATCAAAATACATAGATCCGTTGTACTTTGCAGAAGTCTGGAAATACCTACAACCTAAGGGCACCAGAAGGGAAGACAGAAGGTCTTAGCCACGCTTCTCAACTGAAACGT